AAGAGTGCACCCAAATTTCTCAAGTGAAAATTTTACTAAAAAAATAGGCTTTGTGTATCATATATATGTGAGTAATTATTTCTTTTTGTATTTAAATACCTAATACATGCCTTTTTTAGTTTGTTATGTCATTACAGTTGAGAAAGTAGTTGTGTGTGGTGAATGATGGATTTATAGTTGAAATTGTTCTGTTGCAGTCATGCTTTCATCCAGAGGCTCAGTTTGTTCATTCATTCTACAGTATTTATTGAGCACCTACTTATTGCCAGTTAATTCCCTAGATGTTCCGAATATGACAGGGAAAAAGACAGATCTGTGCCCTGATAGAGCTTAAATGGTAAGTGGCCAGTGTGTTAGTTTAAAATAAGAAGTAAAAATTCCTGTGATGACTTTTTGCTTAAGGATCCTGTTTCTTTTTCCTTCTGAGAATAGTGGGAATTATTAGTGAACAAAAGCATTAAGACAGTTGTTTTAAAAAATATGCTTGTGTTTATAGACATTGGGTATCTGGTTCCCCAAGTATACCAAAGATAAACATTCTACCTGAAGTCAGATGATGCATAGTTTACATGTGGCTAAACATCTTTATCCTTCTGGTTTATACACTTACATGCAGTGCTTGGTTGATGTGGTAGTGCAGGTGGGAGGGCATGACTGCATGGTGACAGAGGCCAGGGGTTCAGTTCCTGGCTCATCCTGAACAGGTGGGGTGAGTGGGGTGCATTGGCTCCACCTGTGGTCCTGGCTGACTAATCGGCTGGAACAAGAGGATTTTGACCCTGTCAAGAACACGTACTTCCTCTTTGATTAAAAAAGAAAAACAATTGTTTGCTGAAAATACTCTCTCTTGGAATTACTTGTTTATAAGGGAGTCTTTTTTTTTTTTTTGGTCTAAAATTGAAAAAAAAAAAAACCCCTTTTTTTTTTTTTTTTTTTTTGTCCTCTGACTGTGTAAGTGAATTATTCTTCCACAGACTCTGATGATCATTGTTGCTGAACTCGGGAAAGTTTGGGAGTGATAGTTTCCCACTCCATCTTGGTTTAAACATGACAAACATCGGTTTAGTTCATTGCTGATTACGGCCTCCTTTTATGTATTATCGTAATTATTATTATTTAGATTTGCCAGACATTGTGGGCTCTCTGGAGAGAAACAGAGAAAGAGAGAGAGAAAGCAATCCCTCATGGGGAGTGGGTCATGCCACAGTCCCTTCTCCATTTCTCCCTCTTTTTGGGATTTTGGGTGTGCACACACATGTGCCTGGCATGTTTTTCAAGCTGCAGTTCTGCTCAAACTAGGAAGTCAGCCATGTGGGATTTAGCCTCACTCCATTTATCTATTATTGATATGTAAATATTTTGTTCACTCTTCTTTGCAGGTTTGCCCATAATTAGCATACTGTGTAGGCATTATTGGGCAGAGAGACCAAGGTTTGGAAATGTTAAGCAAATGCCAGCAAACAAGCAGTGAATCCAAACCCAGCTACTGGCTCTTACTGAAGTGCATCACCCCTGTAGAGCTTGGTCCAGAGAGAACATCAGTGTCTGGAGCCACGCTTCAGCATTGCACTAAAAGCTGTGGACACTATGGGTCTGCTTTTTCAGAAATATCTAAATACTTTGTAAACTTTAAATCAAACTGTATTTGAAATGAATTGAATTTGTTTTCTTTTTTGTGAATTACACTTTAAACCTATTTATTTTCTCTCAAAGTACTGCCTTTTTTGCTATATAAAGTAAGGCATGCATATCTTTTTAGTTTTATTGGGAGATTTTTGCTATAGGGTGCGTGCGCTTGTTAGAAAGAGAAAGAAAGTGAGAAATCACCCCCCAGGTGGGATGACCACACCACAGTCTCTTCTCCATTCTCTTCTCGGAATTTTGGGCATACATGTATACACACCCAGTGTGAATTTTAAGCTGCTCAGTCACAATCGACTATGTGGGAGCCCAGTGACATGACCTTTATGCCATCTGCTGGTCCCCACTTGGGTTTACTTTTAATGGTACACATTTTTGAAACCGATGTAGTATAATGAGTCTTTTTTTTTTTTCTTTTTTAATTTGCCAGAGGACACATAAACTCACCAGAGGGAAACAGAAAGGGAGAGAGGGAGGAAGCACCCCCCACATGGGGTGAAACACTTCAATCCTAACTGCAGTCCCTTCTTCTTTATTTCTCTGTCATTTCGTGATTTTTGGACACACATGCACAGATGTCCAGTGTGTTTTTCCAAACTGCAGGATCTGGGATTCAAACTGTACAGTCAGCATATGGGATCTAGCTACCTTTACCACTGTTTCATGGGGCTGGCCCTAAAATGAATCCTAGTTTGTTGTATTATGACTGTATTTAGAATAAAATTGTCGCTTCAGTCTGAATACTTGTTTTGTTTTTTGGTTACTCAATTTTCGATGGAAAGATATTAATATAACTCAGAACTACGTCTACCTGAGTGAGGTTGCTTAGAGATGAAAATTAATATATTGCATTGCCGTATAGATTGTTTTTAAAAGTGTGTCTTAAATTCCCATTAGTTTCTGTAAGTAAGAAGTTGAAGATTAGATGTGATAAATTTTAGTAATTTAGGATTATTCTGGAATCTTTCTTGATTAGTGTTTTGAACTTTTGATAAATGAAAACTTTTAACTATATTATAGGGATAAAAGACTGGAATTTTAAAATGAGTGGCATCTACCTCCTCTATGAAAAGAAAAAATTAAGAATATAAATGTTACCTGGTCACTTTAATAGATATGTAAGAAGGGTAATTCTCAATTTCTCTCTATTTTGGGGGGGAAGGATTTAACAGTGCTCAGTGACTTAGACTTGGCAATTTATGACACTTCAAAGAATATTTGGTACTGGCTCTTGAATGATATATTGCTTTGGAGTGCAAAAAGCCTAAAATGAATTTCTCACCTTGAATTTAATTGATATCCTTCTGCTGTTTTACATACATGACCTTTTGTCAGATAGTTTCCTTCTTAGTTTGATTTCCTTTTGTTCTTCTAGGTGCTAAATAGCATCCCCATCTCACTCTATGCCCTTTATTTTTTTCATAACATTTTATTTGACTGACATTATGGCATACATTAGTTTATTATCTACTTTCCTTTTGGAATGTAAGATTCATGAGGGCAAGGACTTGGTTTTATTCCATGCTTTCTTCCTAACCATTGGAAAAGTCCCAGACAAGTACTGATAGATGATGCTTTAGATACTTATGGGTGAGTGAATTCATTGGTATTAAGTGAAGAGAGATCACTGCTTTTTTTTTTTTTTTTTTTTTCTGTTTAATATGTGACTTTAAATAATACAGTTGTACCGTGAAAAAGAAAACTGTACTACCAGGCTTATGATGAAGACATCAGTCCCTTGCCTCATGTTCTTATAACTTTCTCGAAGTATTGCTTTCAGAGCAGCCATTTCTGATACTTTAAAAACATTTTTTTTTAGAGATTTTTGCCAGAAAGACAGAGAGAGAAAAGGTGAGAAATCATACCCCGGAGTGGGATGGTCATGCACAGTCCATTCTCCATTCCCCTCTCGGGATTTTGGGCACACATGCACATGGGCCTGGCGTGAGTTTCAGGCCATCAGGTCCAGGACTCGAACCGCGGTCGACTACATGGGAGTCCAGCGACATAGCCATTACACTAACTGCTGTTCGCCCCCTCCACTTTTTTCCCCTAGGAATTATTTATTTAATTTTATTTATCATTGTCATCATTTTTTTCATTTGACTGGAGAGAGACAGAGAATGAGAAAACAGTCTGTCAGGTCTGCAGCTTGAACTATGATCAGCCATATGGGAGTCCAGCGCCGCAACCACCAGGCCATCAGGATTCTCAGGCTTTAGGATTCTCAAGCCACCTTGGAC